TTGATTTAGAATAATATGATATTACAATTTCAATATTTCAGAAGAATATTGATCAATTTTTTGGTAAAAGCACAAATTATAATTTTCGATATTTCACAAGAATATTGGCATATTACTCTTGACGAAGTAATAGTAAAATATAACGTGCTCTCGAAATAACATATTATGGGCCTATTTGTTTTTTATTCTCAAATTCTACAGTAAATCAATTCTCATTTTCATTCACGCATTTTTCAATAAAATAATATTTTCCATCACATCAATAATTTTTTTCTTATTTTTCAACCACACATTTCTCATCATATCACTATTCAAAAATTAATTCTTCCTCCAAAAACCCCTACCAAACACACTCCAAATCTCTCTCTTTGCAGTTTTCATACCACAATAAAATATTTTTAAAAATAAATATTCGAGATTTCTTTATTTATTCAAAATAATTTCAACACACACCGCCAATTCTCTCTCTTTTGTTGTATAAAAAATAATAATTTTTCTCTCTCTAGGGTTCGGGGTTCCTTAACCGCGTCTACTTTGATTTTATTTTATTTTTAATGAAAAAATTTATGTTTGTGGTATTCGAAAATTCAATACAAACCCTTGTTCATTTGATTCTCCTTCAATTCTTCAGGTCAACCATCGCTTAAATCTCTCTCTCTCTCTAGGTACTTATTCTCTCTCTCCCCCCTCTTTTTATTTATACAAATATATCTAGTAGCTTATACGGTACGCACATTTGAAAGCAGATATGTTGTGTGTAACTGTATGTGTGTGTGAGGTGGAATTTTATAGGTAATTTCGGTGTCCCTTTTTGGGTTCTTGGGTAGTTGAATTGATTATTGTCTTGCTTGATTGAGCAGTGTGTTGGTTCTTTGGTTATTTAACTTGCTCTTTTTTTTTTTTTTTGGGAAGTTGGGGTGGAGAGAGAGAGGTTAAGGGGGGTTGGATTTTCTTTTCTAGGGTTTAATTGTTCGATCAGTTTTACTGTTTTTCCAGTTTTTGATTGATGTTTTTATTTGGGGGGTTTTGTACTCTCTGAGAACGAGTGTTTTTAACATTATTGATTGGAGATAATAACTGAAGACTATGGATGTAGATTTATGGTTTTTTTCTTTAATAAATTACTGTTCAACAAAAGAGTATTAGTTTCTTGCCTTTTTTTGAATGGGATGGGTGGAAATGAACACTGTAAAGTTGCTGGACTAGTGAAAATAGTGTCTGATTCCTGATGTTCATATCCAAGTGACAGAGAAGTTTTGAGAGCATCATATCTTCTGGTTGGTAGATTTGTTGTTTGCTCCTCTGTATTATCGAAAGGTTTAATAATTTTCTTCGAGAATACAATAACTTTCTGATTGGGATTTTTCCGTTTGGATTCTTTTTTTGTCCATTCGTGCTGCATGCATTCTTTTTACGTGTTATATCTTCTCCAGGAGTGGCAGTCCTGGGATGGAAGTATATAATGTTCCTGAACAAGGACATGCAGATGCATATCTTGGTAATTTCTATGTGCTTGCTTGATAGTTAGTTAAGACATTACTTTTCCTAGTACTGTTGTAACTTTTCCTAGATAGAGGGCGTAGGGATATACGGAGAGCGGTTCAACACTACTGCCTCTTTTTTCTTCATATTTTTCATGTTTGAAGCGAATGGCTATTAATATAATAAGGAATTTTTGGTCCTTCAGATGCAAGGTGCTGAATCAAATTCACAGATCACCAGTCCACTCCTTGAACATTTTGAAACCATGTACAACGAAGGAGTCCCGGAGTATGTTGTCAATCAGGGCTTGTATTATCCTACTGCCACCAACTATGGATATATTTGTACAGGTGAATTGAATAGCATTTATGTTAAACTGTATGGATTTGAGCTAAAAATATAACCTGTGGAGAGGCTGATGAAATATTCTCTCGTTTTGTTAGCATTTGAATCACCTGGTGACTGGGATGATCCCCATAGAATTTTTGGTCTGGATGGTCAAGAAATCCAGTACACGGTGAGTCCCTTTCTTCTGAATTTAAGATGTACACCACTTGAAGTTACTGAAGTCGTGCATCTTCTCTTTCAGGGTGCACCAAATGAAAGTCTTCCATATGTATATTATATACCTGGCTATGGATATGCACAATCTTCATATAACCCATACAACCCTTACATTCCTGGTGCAATGGTGGGAGTTGATGGATCATTTGTGGGGGCACAACAGTATTATACCATGCCGTCTTACGAGAATCCTGTTTCTTCACCTGCTTACATCCCCATGATTGCAAATAGTACAACAGACCCGTTTGTTCATAATGATTCATCTGCTAATCGAGCTGATGGTCCAGCTCTTGAGCATAATCCATTTTCAAAATCTCCTAAATTTTCTCCTACTCCATTAGGTACTGCTTCTAGCCCGATTAATTCTGTTATCCGGTTATCAGAAGAAACTAAAATAGCAAATGCTGGATCTAGCAAGCAGCCCATGACTCATGAAGGTGTTACTTCTAGAAGTTTTCCCAGTTCAGCATCATCACAAATTCCCCAGGAGAGACTCTTTGAGGTAACAGAAGTGAATATGCGAATGAAATGGTTTGCACATAAACTAATCTTGAATTTTTAGCTATCTAGAAGCATGTCTGGAAGGTGTTTATAAAAGGTTTAAATTATAAATAAATAGAAATGAGTGGTGGATAAGTGGTAGTATTTGTGGGTTCTTTGAAATGAAAAAGTGGCTTGAGTGTTTTTAAACAGCTTGTAAACATGAGCTAAACATAGGCTAGGATCCTTATCCTGATGCTGAGCTGTGTTTTTCCAGTATATTGAAGCTAATGACCTTTTTTTTTATTGCAATTTTTTTTGTGTTTTAGGGTAAAAAAGCTGTGGTTATGGAAAATGTTCCGAACTGGAAGGCATTATCTAGTCAAAGCCACTTAAAAAATGCCGTTCCTTCTGGCAATGGCGTCTCTGGTTTCGGACCAAGCAATTATGCCCAGGCTCCATTAGATAAAGTTAAGCCCAAGGTATTCTATGGAAGAACTCAGGATGATGTTAAAGTAAGTACTGATGCGTTGGCCGAACAAAATCGAGGACCTAGAATTAACAAATTGAAAAACCAATTGGCGGTTAAAGCCTACACAACGAGGGCGGGAGATTCTGATGCTCAAGGAAACATTATTATCTATACAGATAAATATAACAAGGGTGATTTTCTGGTTGATTATACGAATGCTAAGTTTTTTGTAATCAAATCATATAGTGAGGATGACGTGCACAAGAGTATAAAATACAATGTTTGGTCGTCTACGCCTAACGGAAACAGGAAGCTAAACAGCGCATATGAAGATGCTCAGAGAATAGCTGCTGCAGATTCAAAAGGCTGCCACATTTTTCTCTTCTTCTCCGTGAGTTACATTCTATGATTTAATATATTAGTCGCACATTATTGTCTGTGAGATTATTTACGGCTCAATTAACGCTTTCCAGATTTTTGACATTTACTCAGAGTTACTCATTGGTGCCTCTTTATCTTTTCTTACTGAAGGTCAATGCCAGTGGCCAGTTCTGCGGTGTTGCTGAAATGACTGGTCCTGTAGATTTTCATAGAGATATGGATTTCTGGCAGCAAGACAAGTGGAGTGGTAGCTTTCCTGTTAAGTGGCACATCATAAAGGATGTGCCAAACCCAAATTTTAGACACATCATGCTAGAAAACAATGAGAATAAGCCAGTGACTAACAGCAGAGACACGCAAGAGGTATGCTCACATTTTTGCTTGTTGCTCCGCATTTTCTTTAGCAGCAATAACTTGCTCATTATGGATCGGGGGAGTTGTGCTAATGTTCCCATTCCGTGGGTTCGGATTCCCATTAAAAAATTTGGAAAATGTCGTCTCCGAAGTCATCCTTTTGTAGCAAACAAGTGTGGTGATTTTATTTTATTTTTGGTCGAAAAACAGGTTAAATATGTTGACGAGACTCATTTTGCTCTCACCTTCGAAGAGATGAAAAACAATAATAATAATAATATAAAGAAAATTAAAATGGAAAACCCTTCCAACAAAATTTTGACTCAATCTGATGGAAGAGATTATTAATTAAGTTATAAGATTACCGTTTGATATCATGTAGGTTTAATTAGCTTCTGTAGTTGATAATTGATATTTTCTTCTTCAGATACACTACAAGAAAGGCATGGAGATGCTGAAAATATTCAAGAACTATTTATCGAAGACATCCTTACTGGATGACTTTATGTACTATGAAAATAGACAGAAGATCCTGCAGGAAGAAAAAGCGAGGTTGCTTGTTAAGAACTATGAGAACCCATACCTTGTGCCTCTAGTAGATCAAAATAGACAGAAGATCCTGCAGGAAGAAAAAGCGAGGTTGCTAGTTAAGAACTATGAGAACCCATACCTTGTGCCTCTAGTAGATCCTCCCCTCAATCTTAATCCTATTCTTGATCCTTCTCCTAGTGAAGATAAGAAAGTCGTCTTGCATGATGATTCAAGCAGCTCCAACAAGAATGAGTCTTATTCCAACGAAGAGGTTTCAATGCATGTAGTATCAGTGGATGGGAAACCAAACATTGAGGTCGAATTAAGTTTTGGTTCACTAACAATTAATCCGAAAGAGTCTGATTCCACGTCTTTGGTGCCTGATACTGATAGCAAAGCAAACACTGAACCGATTGATGTTGTTACAGTAGGGTCTATGCCTGTCAAAGTTAACAGTTCCACTGGATCTTCTGGTTTTTTAACGGTTGGAACAATCCCACTTGATCCTAGAGCTCTCCAGCATGGTGGTGATGGTTACTCTAGCAAAAATGGATCTAAAAAAGGGTGATGTATGGGAATCTGGATTACCAATAGATTGATTGTTGTGGACAGGTATGGGGTAGAGATCTTGAAGAATACTGTACACAAGGATGTATCATCACGAGAAATGAACATCTTGCATACTCATCTATCTCATGTTGTTTTCGCTTGGACAGGATCAATATGAAACACGGAAGTCTTTTGGTTTTGGGGTCCTTCGGGCGGTTGGTGCCTGATACCCTTTATGAACAAGTTTTTTTACTGTTCTGTTTCCTTCTTAGGAGATGAATGAATTGAAGATACAACAGATTATTTTAGTTGGTTGGAGAAGAAAGAAAAAGGGGGTGGGCACTGTAATGTTACTTTTCCTTTAAATTATTCAGTTCCTTATTTTTGTTGGAATTGGAAAAAAAAAATGATTTACTCTAATTTGGATTGACATTTTATGAATTCTAATATGTATTTTCATTTTTATTTTTTGCAATTTCATGTATTATGTTAGAATTTCTTGCACCCTTATTGAATTAAGTCATTTGCGTCTTGACCTCATCTTTCTAGCTATCGCAGAAGTCGGTTTATAAACAGTTCCAATTATATGTAGATAAAAATGAGTGGTGAAAATATGAATAAAATTTGTGTGATCCATGAAATATATGAATAAAAGTGGCTTATTCAATCAGGAGTAATTTATAAACCATAGCCATGAATGGGCTCAATTCTGTGCGCTTTCCGAAAATTTGGGCATTTTACTTTGGGTAAATAGCAGCAGAGATCTCCAACTTTTGATGTGTTGCACTTTAGTCCACAACCTTTAAATCAGAGCTTGCCCAACAAAGGTAAGGGACTTCAACTTCAAGTGCTATTTACCCTTTTCATTTTCATAAGTCTTGATCTTTAGCATCCTTCCGAACACAAACATCAAGACTTTTATTTGTCATGTTAAATATTCCAATTGTTACTAGGGTCAAAAAAACCCGATATCCTTTTTTTTAGAATTCAATACTTTCAATGAAAAATTTCACAAAATTTCATTAGTTCTAATAGAAAATAACAACTAAAATTATTTGTCTAAATCTAATGAATATGGACAATAAAAATAAATTATTAAAAAAAATAAAAATTAAACAGATAGTAAACGGGGCAAGAACCCCGTCTCGTCTTAAACGACTAATATAAAATAACAACTAAAATTATTTGTCTAAATCTAATGAATCTGAACAATAAAAATAAATTATTAAAAAAAAATAAAAATTAAACGGATAGTAAACGGGGCAAGAACCCCGTCCCGTCTGAAACGAGTAACGGGACGGGGAGTTTCTTAGCGGGCCCCCGCCCCGTTGCCATCCCTAATTGTTACTGAACTTGTACAAATATTTTCAATTATCATTGAAATGCAAAAGCTTTGAGAGTTGTCACAAAAATTTCTCAAATATTTTCCAGTTGTCATTAAATTTTAGATATTTAGTGGGGCAACATTTTTCCACTTGTTAGGGAAAAACAAGGATAAATATGTTGAAACGTATGGATTATTATTCATCTTCCAAGGGAATTGGTACATTTTCATTGTTCAATCAGAAGTACATCCCTCGTGACTGGCATTTTCAAATCACAACTCACGAGGGGCAAATCCTAAAGGCGGGTGCTCAAAGTAATCTTTGAAAATAAACGCAGAAATAAACCAAAAATGAAACCTCTAATGCAATTGCTCAGCTATGGATGGCATTGCTATCAGAACATGCACTCACTGCTACGAGTAGATTGATATCCGAGATCAGAATTCAGAGCTTTTGCTGAATTTGCGTCCAGACATTGCCTCAGATTCATATAGCATGTGATTGATGAGTCCCCTTGCTGCACTGCCAAATGGAAAAGAAAAGGAACACATTGTTTTTGGGTTAGCATGAGCACATCTATCTAAATCAGGAGCTTACAAAAATGAGATACGTGGAAGAGACTATGAAAAGAGTAGAAGGTGATTATGGGAACGTAGAACTGAAATCCTAATTGCACAGAAAGAAAATAAAGTAAATTGAAACTCACTCATCCTTGAACTTTTGAATTTTCTCCGGATCAGTCTCATGCATATGCTTTTTGAACTGCTGTCTAACCATATCAACAAGAAGTTCTGTATTGTATTGCTGAAAATAGAGTTGATAAGAAGAACCAAGTTAGTAACCTTTTTTTCCTCAACTAGAGATAAATGCCAAAGAAGTGGTGGAGGAATAACATTCGGAATAAATGTGAGGTTCTGGCTTCTTAGTTATATTTTCAAGAATAAAATGAATTCCTCGTCCAGACGTGAATAGTGTGACAGAGCTTGCATACTTAAAACTAGCTCAAAAGATTTGATATAGCTAATAAGAAAATCTGTCTTCCTATTTCACTATAATTTTGTGATGGAGGAGTTGATTTGGTTCTTGGATGGTGAATATAGGGAAGAGACCGAGATCAGGACATAGGATGGCCACCCAATCAGAAAAAATATGCTTCTTTCCAAAATATTTGGTACTATCAAAAGTATAAAAGATAAACTTCTTGGTAGTTATTTTCCCTCTTGTTGGGCATGACACCAATTAAGACACAATTAAGACACAATTAGTTTATACTAATAACTCATTAGGAGCGCATGCCTACTGATTGCAAAATAACTGGCAAAAGGTCACAATATTAAAAAGGTCCTCTCATAGACTATGCCTGCACACAACCTACTCGATGATCATGATCATGAGTCATAGCTACTCGAACCAGGTAGTTTAACTTCTGGTGTACCATAGCCAACAAAAGCAAAGAACGTTCATAACAGAGCATGCAACTTCAACTCAGACACGAGGACAAACGTCAAAAATGTGCCTGACCAATCAGTTCTAGGTACCTAAATTTACATCATAAAATACTGTCAATGGATCAGGATGGATTAAACAGCTATAAACAATTTAATCAACCAAGTCTCTTTAGAATCTCTCATCATCAATGTCACAAGGCATGATACGGAAATTTTAGCATATCGATCACATCTAACTTCAGTTAGCTGGAAGGTACACTATTATGTTCATACATTGAACCCTAAGAAACCCACGATATATCGAAATATGACAGAACAAATCACACAGTGACACTATTACTATTAAGAAGTTTCTGCATAATTTAGACAGCTAACTGAAAGGACTTGTGTAGATGAGCAAATAATGAGTCCACGAAAATTCCAAGAAGGCTGGAATCCGACCTTCATCGGAACTCAAATCTAGATCAGAGCATACAATCAATTAAACCACCTCTTACAAAATCTTCCGTTGAGAACACTAGCAAAATAATCACGTCATTTAAGTGTAATTTTACTACCATCAGCTCTTGGATCTAGTGGTAGGTGGTAATTTAGAGTCTAGAGTTAGCTGCATAACAGGAGTACATATAGGGACATACAGTTGCATGCCTGCTAACTTGATGCAACAGGCAATTCAAAAATCCATGATTAGCTCATCCTGATTTGATGCAAATGTTTTTTTGAACAATGGGAAGAAATCATTTCTTTAAAATTTCTGAGTAAACGTTTTCCATTCATATCGCTAGAAAATATAAAATCCCTAGATCAAAAGCACATAATCTTTTTTTATTACCGCAATGAGAAACTATTTAACAATAGTTTATCATCTTTATCTTCTGCACTATAGATAAACTCATATTCATCAAGAAACAAGCCACGTAGAATCAAGAACATCAAGTCATCAAGCTAGGGAATCAAATACCTTCTGGCCAATATATTTAGCACGCCGCAGGCATTCGCGATAAAGCTACAGCATAAAATGGTAAAATAAGTTATTTTAAACACGGAATATCTTAATTTTTTAACTATTTTTTTCAAATATTACCACAGACCCAAAGAATCAGTTTTTATACTCATAAACAAAGCCCTAAGTTTAATTTTTTATTTTTCCTAATTTCTTCTAGGCCAGATATAATCATATAACCATAAAAATGAATTAAATGCTTAAAAATAGAAAAAAATAATAATAATGAACTAAATGGAATGATAACAATACTGACTCGAATAGCATTGTTTGCGAGTTCAGGAGGCAAGGCTGTCTGCAAAGAAGGCATTTTTCCTTAATTTTACCTGCAAAATATATCCAAAACGACCAAGAGAAACAATAAAAACGAAGTTCAAACAATATCCTATCCTATGCTAATCCATATCGATCCATACATTTATATATAGAGAGAGTATTGCACCTGTTGCCGGAAGTGGTCAGAGGTTATGTAACTCCAGGGGTGGAGCTAGAATTTAATGGTACGGGGGGCAAAAAAATTTAAAATTTAATGTATGAATAAAATTTATATATAACTAGAAAAATTGTAATATAACGTTGCCTATTACAATTGTACCCGACGATATTTTATATCATAAAATTTATCTATAATAGAATCTCGATCTAAATTAATATTAAATTCTCGTTCAATGTTTAGCATTAAACAACCGGCAAAAAAACCTAAGAACATAAATATCAAAATACTTCAATATCCTATAAATTCCTATCATTATATCATATGTAATAAGCACATAGCTCTCATTTTCAAAATTTAACATGGCTAAATTCCCAATTCCCAAACTAACATTTCCTAAATAAATTCCTAAATCCTAAAGCAACTTAGCAAGTCTGCCTTATTTAGCCTTATTCCTTAATCAAATCAAATGGATATACCAAATGCAAATTACCTAGCATTTTAGCAACTAGCAGTAGCAAGTCTAATTTTTATCGAACAACTTTTCCAATTTTAAGCATTTGGAAGGAGATAAACAACTAAACAAAAACAAGCCAGCAGCCCTTCAATGGAGTATAAATTGGCTAATGTGGCCTAATTCATGTGAACAAGTGTAAATAATCTAACCAAACATACCTCCTTTGTATCGTGTTATACTAGAAATCTGATAAACATGCCAGCAAAACTGCAGGCCGCAAATGAAGCAAAAGGGCCAATTTTCAATGAAACAAGACATTAAGAAATTGAGAAAAGATATTAAACAATAAGCACAAACAATCACCACAGTCCACAAACAAGATTGGATGGATATTATGTGATTAAGACATTGATATTTTTTGGGGGGTTTTGGTGCATGTTCAGTTGGTAATAATACTATCGACTGAACCTGAGAGCAAGATTCTAACTTAATTAATATTGCCATTCGTCCATTTGCATACAGAATACTCATACCAAAGTAACCAAACGTACAAGATAACAATTAACAATAATGGAGAAATACAATCAATCATTTTTCATGTGGGCATGGATTTGCAGAAAATGTCAAAGATCAAAAGTCTCACAGTTTTCAGTTTTCACTGAAGGTTCAGTCCGTTCGGCTGAAGAAGGAGAAGAGTCGATTTTCGGTTTTCACTTACCAATTTTTTTCGTATGATGCTGTAAAACAGTAAAAGGCCGGGTCAGCTGACAGAGGGCCGGACTTCGGCGGACGGCGTCGGGCGTCGGCGGTCGTCTCTTCACTCTCCGCCGCGGATTGAAATTTTGAAGTAGAAACCTGCAGGCAAATTTCATAAACGGTGCAAATAATTTTGGAAGGGTTTTGGAATTGGGAATTAATTATAGGGGAAATTCCACCACACCCTTTATGTCAATTCTAAAAAATGAGGTGGATCTTTTTTCTTTCAAAAATCAGAAATATTGTAATTAAACTTATTACTAAATATAATAATTAAAAAACTAATTCATCTATCATACAATTTAAAAATCACAAACCCTAATTCTCTCTCCCCCCTCTCGTCCCCTCCGCTTCTCTCCTCAACCTACTGTTTCTCTCCATTTCCCCGTCTCTCTCTTCGCCGCCCGTTGGAGGAGGAGTCCCGTTGACAGAATTTCCCTGTCTCTCTTTTCGTCGCCCGAGACTGCTGCTCTCGTAATGTTGACAGAATTTCCCGATGGTGCTTCCGTAATTTCCCGGCTGCTGCGAACTCGCAGCATTTCTCAGGTAGGACTGCCGTACGCATTGAAGGGTCGCCGACCACCGTTTTGGCTCCATCAACCCTGCCTTAGCCCCCTCGTAACTTCTTTCGCCTCCCTTCAGATCCATCAGATTGCTAGTCAAAAAAGAGTGATGCAGCACCGACGAGATTTCTCTCTGTTTTGGTGGTGGTTGACGGTGGCAGATTTGATGGTTGAGGCCAGTGTGAAGTGGTTTTTGTGGTTTGAGTTTCTCTGTTGGCGGTGCGATGCTCATCGCGATGGTGGTTGTGATGTCGATGTTGGTGGCAGCGTTACTGGTTGTGGTTGGCGGTGGTAGATTAAATTAGTTTTTTATTAACAATGAATAGGTGTTGGGTAGAAATGCTGGTTTGGGTGGNGGTGATGGTGGTGGATTTGGTGGTTGCGCGGGTGCTATTTGTGTAGTGGTGGTGGTGGACGGTGGCGGGGATGTTGTTAGAGACAGTGTTGAACTGGTGGTCACAACTGTTGACGTTGGTCATGGATTAGACTAGCGTGACCGCATAATGGACTATCCGTGACCTTAAAATTCGACAATTTGTGACTAAAAATTAATCTGTGACTTGTATTTTTTGATCTGTGACCAATAAAATAATCCGTGACCTTTAAAATTATTGATTTGTGACCAAAAAATAATCAGTGACCTCCCAAAAATTTTGATCTGTGATCGAAATACAAATTGTGACCTATAAAAATTTTGAACTGTGACCTAGAAATAATTCGTGACTTATAAAATTTTTGACTTATAATCAGGCGTCTGAGCGACAGCCATCCTTGGAGGATATATTGGGAACCTTCATTTCAGAGACTAGGTCCAGGGTCAACAAAGATGAGTCTAGACTTGACAATATCGAGACACTTATGACCAACATGGGAGCCACGGTGAAGAATTTGGAGGTGCAAATTGGTCAGATAGCAACTGCATTACAGTCCCAACAGAAAGGAAAATTTCCCAGTGA